GAAACGGAGAAGCCGGCTGACCTTTCTACCATCCCCATTAATACATGATACAATAAAGCCCAAACCCATATCCCACCCAAGTGATGGTACTCTCCCAGAGTTAAAAAAAAGGAATGAATTCCTTCCTCACCTTAGCCTTACCTCTTGCCTCCCCAAAGAGTTTCTGCAGAAGCAAGGAAACTTCTGATTTTCTCAGATGTGCAACAAAAGGCCCTTCCTACAATATTATGGAGAGGTGGGCACGACTTCAAGGGGGCAGGCACGGAGGCCAGGGGACCCCCCCATACTACCTAATATCAATAAAATACCGTAATCTCTTAACAGTGATGTCTGAGTCAACCTCAAGCTCGTGAAACTCAGCAACACACAGGTCTGCTTTGGCATATTTCCAGAAGGTGCTTTTTACTTTTTTATTTTTTTAAATTTTTAAATTGGGCATGGAGTCGAACATGGGGCTTGAACCTCGACCCCAAGATCAAGACCTGAGCTGAGATCAAGAGTTGGATGCTCAACTGACTGAGCCACCCAGGCTCCCAGAAGGTGCTTATTTCTTGTGGCAGTCACATGAAAAGGATGAAAATTAACTAAGAAAACAATCCCTCTGACCTGTCTCCCAAACTGTCAACATGCAAATGATGTTTCATGTCTACATTTCTGCACTGTCAGTCATTACCAATTTATGGTCAATTCAACTCAGTTCCCGAAGGTCCACTGTATGCCAGGCTGTGTTCTGGACATATGGTTCCTGCCATGAGCAGGGAATATGCAAATGTTCCCACAGGGGTGGTGGCTTACTCAGGTTTGTGTTCATTGGGAAGACACTGAGCTCCAGGTATTTCAGACAACGCAAAAAATTAGAGAGGCTGCATGTGACCTGGAGTGTCAAGAAAGGCGGCTTAGAAAGGGTAAGAGGTGGCCGGGAGGGAGGAACAGAAAGAATTCAGATAGGCTGGGAGAGAAAGGAAAAGGACTCCAGGCAAACAGTTCTGTGCTCAAAGATCTTATTAGAGGTTCTGAACCTGAGCTTTCGAACTGACACCCGTGGGAGCTTAAGGGCATAAGAATAATGAATTTATGAAAAACCAGTGCCTCTAAGAATGGGATCTAGTAGGATGAATTTAAAAACCCAACAATGTTCCCGGTAGGAAATTTGGAAAGTGAGGGATCTCAGAGGAAGAAGGAAGGGAGACCTGGCAATATTCTCCCAGGGTAAGCAAAGATCCACCTATTCTGAACAGACCCAAATTTCCAGCCTATTTCCAGATCAGAAACTGGGACTTACAGCAAGTTTCTTAACTTCCCTCTGACCCTCCATTTCCTCAATTTTTTTTTTTTTTAAAGATTTATTTATTTATTTATTTGATAGATCACAAGCAGGCAGAGAGGCAGGCAGAGAGAGAGGAGGAAGCAGGCTCCCTGCTGAGCAGAGAGCCCGATATGGGGCTCGATCCCAGGACTCCGAGATCATGACCTGAGCCGAAGGCAGCGGCTTAACCCACTGAGCCACCCAGGCGCCCCATTTCCTCAATTTTTGAATAGAGAGAATAATACATAAGTCATCGGATTAGGGCAATGTACGGAAATTACCCAGTTCAATAGTCGATACATAGATGTTCAATAAACGGTTAACTGGTGCTGTCATCACGTGCAAAAAGCAGCACAAAAAGCTGTCCAGTTAGGGTTAAGTGAGGGACTACAAAACGGCAGCACCTTTGAGGAAAATCTGAGAGTCCGATCTGCCTTGCACTTTTACGTACAACATTTTAATCCTGGTAGATGGCTTGGACTATAAAAATCAAAGCAACATGACAGATGTCAGTGGCTTCACAGCCAAATACCAGGACGGCCTTTGTTGGTGCTGCTTTCTAGAAAGTACATCTCATCTGCACAACTGAGAACAGTCACCTTCTTCAGTCCAGGAGCCAGGCGGAACCCACCTGGGATTAATCGATTCCATACCCTGTCTATAAGAGTTCAAAAACATAGGCTGCCAAAGAACCTATTCAACAAACTTTTAATGAGTGTCTTTGTATTAGACATTGTGATGGATTCTTTTAGGGCCTCTTAATCCAGGAGCACACGGAAAAGCACCAGAGATTCTCATGACCCAGATGACTTCGATTTACAACTGCGAGGAATCCTCACAGGTCTGAGAAAGGCTTCACCCCTTTTTTTATAGAAAAGGAAAGAGATAAATTAAGACATATGCCTTCTTTCACTCATTCCTCATTTACTCATGCATTTCAAAGAAACATCTGCTCTGCACTGCTAGGTATAAAGCACCAGGTAGAGAAAGCTATTGCCCTCAAGGGGTTTACAGTCCCAAAGGCATAAAATTAACATCTAGCTATCACAAGGCCGACCAGAGGTAGGAGTCATCCCAAGCAAAGTACCATGGCGATGGGATGAACTCTCACTGGGAGGTCTGGGAAGCCTTCTAGACGGGTGCTACATCAGATAGGCAAGGATTTGCAGAAACTAATCAGAGGCCATGCAGGGATGCCAAACAAGCATGGAATTCAACGTGGTAGAGACATTGGGGGAAATCTATCTGTGGCATCTGGAAATGGGGAGCTGTTTGTTGCAAGAATGGGTAGGTATTTTGGGGTGCCCTGGATCCAATGGAGGTAGGTGGGCCCAGAACCGTGAAAGGTTTTATATGCCCAGCTAAGGAGATAATTATACTGAGTACATTACACAGTGCTAAGAAACCTGTTCAGGAGGGGTGGGGTGGGGGGGGAGAAGGAAAAGAAATCAGATCTTAGATCCAAAGAAAAGCCCACATAGCACTGGCATAGCTTCAGGCTCCAGACCTCTTAAAACGGCACTGCAGTTTTGGGGGAAGGGGTTCCCACCCTCCATGAGCAGGCAATATCTTTCTTGTCTTAATTTATCCTCTTTATCATCAATTTTTGCCCTTTCTCTTTCCCTTAGCCGGATGCTAGAAATGAGGCAAACATGTAGATTCTGAGGAAATCCAAGGAGCTTTTTGGGGGGTGGGGTGGGGAAGGAAATGTGGTGCAACTCCATCGGCCTTAGTCATACAACCTTCGGTGAGGTCAGCTTCATACCACCGCCTCACTCCAGCTGCACCAGCTCGTTTGCCCCAGTCTGATTTGTTTCCATTCACTTCCTTAATCCCAATGGTTTTTGAAGGCCATCAATGTTTTCCTTTGTGTGTAATGTAAAGGGTGGCCTGACTTCCCCTTTATGACTCTACTTCACCCTGGTGCCATCTTATTCTCTTTGGGGGCCCAGCTGGAAATCTGACATCAAATTCTCCCCCAACAACAAACTCCACCTCCAACATTTGCACACGCACATGCACTCGCACACAGCCAAAATGTTCCAACTCGAAATCATCTTCCAAACTGACAGAGCTTTCCCCCTTTATTTTGCCATCTTCATGCCCTCAGCCTGAACCCCTGGGTTTCTCCCCCAACCACCCCCTCATTCTTACCTTACCTTCAGATGCTTCATTTCTCCTACAGAAATCAGTGTAAATAGTATGTTTCTCCCTACAAACCCTTTATACAAGGTGCAGGGCTCTGTGCCCTACAGCATCCTCCTTAACTATGAGCCTTGGGTGCTCCTGCCTCACCACCCAAGTGTCATTTTTAAAGGTCCATTTGGCTCTTAAAATATATTCCACATTAACTAATATCCATGTATTGTCTTGTTAAGAGAAAGAGGTAACCATCTGGGTACAGCATCAAAAAAAAAAAAGACAGGGAAAGGGGAAAAGGAGAACCAGAGGCCCCTTGGTCAAGTGAGTTCAGATACAGCAATAACACTTGGGCCGTGTTCAAAGTTGCCCACTCATCCATCACAGCTCCTCAAAGACTATTAACTTGCTAGCCATTATCCAACCACCTTCACCACACCCTCAGTCCCCCAGAGAAGAGCATAAGGCCAGAGGGGATGCAGCGTATTCATGTCACCCCCAAGCCCAGGTAAAAGACAAACAAGTCCGCTATAAAAGCGGGGATGCAACAAGCCCAAATTGAACCCAGCCTAGCGCTCATTGTAGCAAGGGGTGGGTGATTCACTCCTGGGGGGACAGTTAGGAAAAAGGAAAATCGTGGAAAGTCCCAGAGGAAGTGGTAACCCTATTCTCGAAGCCTGGCCAGAATGTACACTGGCTCATAGGTACACTCAGCTGCCCTGCTGCCGCTGCTCTCCCACCTCAACCTCTTCTTACTCGCCCTCTCCTCCCAACACGCGTCTCACCCCCATGCCTCCACTCACAGCATTATCCTTGGGTGAATGTATCAGCTTTGCCCCGCTACCCGCCCACCGGCAGACATGGACTTCTGGGGTTGGGAAGTCTACCACAGCTAAACGGGGCGACGAGCTGCTGCCCATCTTCCCACCCACTCATCCTTATTGTGCCATTTGCCCAGTCTGATGGCAGCCCAAGCCGCTGATGTGAGTCGGCTAGAATGCAGCGGAGAGGGCAAAGGAGGAACACATAGCACAGGGACCCAAGAGGACCCGCTGCCCCTCCTTGAAGTGCCCCACCCCCACCCCTCCAGCCTCGAGTCGGGCTGGGGGCGCAGACAGACAAGGGAAGGGAAGCACACTCGGTCCCTGTCCGCAGCTGCACACAAAGCCCTTCACCTTCTCCTTGCCTTCCAAGCTCCTCCCTGGGCTCCGTTTTTCCGAGGGTCTCGGATGCCCCCTTCGGTGGTCGGCGGGACGGTCCCACCCGCTTTCGCCGCTCTGCCTCCTCCTCCCTCGCGTCTCAGCCGCCTCCTCCCCGCCCCTCGCCACAGACCCCGGAGGGAGCTCAGCCCCGGTTCGGGGGCCGCCAAAAGCACCCCACCCGCGGTGGGCCCCTGCGCCCCGGGAGAGCGGACAGCGGTCCAGCGCGCGCCGCACAACTTCGCCCAGCCGCTCCGCCACCCGCTCGCGGGCGTACAGCCCATCCCCGCAGCGGTCGGGTCGGGCGTCCGACCAACCCCAGCCGGTCGAGAGCCCCGCCGCAGCCACGCTCCTACCTGCGAGGCGGCGAGGAGCGAGGGCAGCGCGCGTCCCGGCCGGAGCCCCGCGCCGCGTCTACCCTTGTGCTGCTGCGGCGGCGGCGTCTGCAGCGGCCGCGGGCTGGCTGGCTGGCTGGCTGGCTGACTGGCTGGCTGCCCGGCTGACTCCTCACTGGGGCTTCCTGTAGGGCTGGACAAAGGACATTTCCTGGGAGGAGCAGGGGAATGTTCCCAGCATGCCTCGATTTGTAGTTCCCGGGGACTTCCTGCTACCAGGGCCCCGGGCACCGAGGCTTCCCCCTCCAGACGCGCACCCGGCACGCGAGGACACGCGCTCGCTCCTTCCCTCGCGCTCCAGGGCTGGGAGCCGCAGGGGCGTCTAGCCCGGGGTCCTGCTCCGCCCCACGGCCCCGCCCCGCAGCCCCGCCCCGCCCCGCCCCGCGGCCCAGCCGAGCGCGACTCCGCGCTCCCGAATGCGGCCGCCCCCGCAGCTGGTGGCCTGTCGCTGAGCTGTCGCGGGGTACGGGAGGACTCTGCGGTGAAAGCTGCCATTTCTTCGGATAGGGGGAAGTTTGGGGTGGGTTCTTTTTGAGTTGACTTGTTTTTTCAATAGATTTTTCTTTTTCCTTGTCTTTTTTAAACCGCCGGAATCCTGCTGGGGGCGGTATAAAGAACTTGACTGCTCACCAGGAATTCAGGTTCCTTAAGATTTGGGCTCTTCATCCTTAAAACCGTAAGACCTGTTTTGTTTCCAGATCCTGACCCCGTGACATTGCTCTCTCCCATGTTGGCCTTGTCCCAGGCGTGTTTTCAAGAAAAGTAATTAAATTAAGAGATTGAAGACAAATTGCATGAATTAACTCCAAGACACGTAAGACAACAACAACAAAACAACCTGTGCTGCAGACTTAGGAGCATGGTGGAATTTCTGTTTCTCTTTCTCTTGTTCGCGTTTAGGATTTGGTTTCGTCCGCCTTACAAACAGACGCGATGGCCACTGTATGGCCATCTGTATCAGGGGTTTAGGAACATTGGGCATTGGCTATAAGAGAGAACTCCACTTCCAGCCCAGCCTATCAGCAGTCCTCCACAAATTCCTGTCTAATTCTGGAATTGCATACCCAGGACACTCCTGGGAAAAATCAGGGAAGGGCCACATGGAGACTTAGGAAAAGCAGTGCTCTCTCCCCTTAAGGAGGGTGATCAGAATGTAATGAACGGAGCTAGGAAAGGAAGAGTTCCAACATGCTCTAAAATGTGTTTGAAAAGTAACCAGAGAGAGGGTCGTAATGACCACGCCTATCCATTTGGCCTTTCACATTTCAAATGCGCATGTGCACATTCAATGTGCATTTAAGAAAAGTGCATCCATGTTGTGGCTCTAGTTCTTTCTCTTGAGATACTTAACCACAGGGATAAGATGGGCTGGATCCATTTAAGGTGTAGCGATGGTGAGAAGTGTGCAGATGTCATCAGCTACCTCCCCAAAGTTCCTATTGCATGTCTCCCTGTTGACTGTCCACCTAAATTAATTTTGGTGTCATCTTTGCATTTGGGGGACCCTGCAAATCACAGCTTCCTAAGGGTTTGCAGTCTGGTAACGTTCTAATAAAACGGTCCCTACCTCCACCATCACCAAGAAAAAAAAAAAGATAATTGATAATCATTTGGCAAACCCAGCGGCCTCTTGTAGTGTTCAGCTTGAAAAGATGAAACACTTGCTTTAGCATTTAACATGGCCTGCTATGCCCTCAGCAGAGCTATTTTCTGCCTTCCAATATAGCGCACTCTCCTCATTCTCCTCCTACGTTTCTAAGTTAGCTCAAGATGCCTAAAATTTCACTCACCTCCCTCCCATACCAAAACTGTCTCTCTCTTTTGTTGCCAACCCCGGTTAACTGGTGACTTCAGTAGGGATCTGTTTAACACTTACTACACATTAGTCACCATGCCCAGAGTAGACATATATTAACGTTCCACTCTAAGACATTTACTGAGTAAGCGCTGTCTTAACCCTCAAGAAGTTCATACTCCTGGGCTCCATGCTGGGTGTAGAGCCTACTTAAAAAAAAAAGTTCATACTCCAGCTGACATCACACAGACAATAACCACATAACATTTAAGTGCTATAACAGAGCCGTACACAGAGGTTTGTGTTCTCAGAGGGTCTCACTCTTCCCATAAACTCTTTTGTTCAGGCGAAATCAGGAATAGGAACAAGAGAGGCCAGGAAACGCAAGTAGTAAATAGGGACACTCCATGTGTAAAATTTGGTTGTGAAGGGGGTGGTAACTGGGAAGGAAATAGGGTCTAAGGGGAAGACGATTTCTGTTTGTGGGCTTTCTGTTTGTTTAGTTTTTAAGATGAGAGCTCCTTAGGGATGCTTGAAAGCTGATGGGAAAGGTCTAGGCTAGAGGCAGGGGGTGAAGACAGAGGAGAGAGAAAGGAGAAGAGATCAGGCATTCAACAAATACTTGTTGAATTAACTAATTCCTGTTACATATCATTGCTGAAGATGCTCAGATCGACATTAATAAATTGCACATTCCCAGCTAATATCGGCAGAGCCTGAGACCAGACAGAAATGACATTCCTTTCTCCCTCGTCATGCATCCTCCCCCACCCTTCAAGCCCTCAGGGGAGGGAGTAGGGAGTGAGGGGAGGGACACAAGGGCTCCCTGATGTTACAGGATGGAGGTCAAGTTTTCCAATTCTACAGCAGATTCCAAAGGCACACAGCAACTTCAGAAAAGTCTTAACTTCCCAGCCTATGTGTTTAATTTTTTAATTAAGTGAATATTTGGGATGCCTGGGTAGCTCAGTCAGTTAAGCAGCTGCCTTTGGCTCAGGTCATGATCCCAGGGTCCTGGGATCCAGCCCCACACTGGGCTCCCTGCTCAGTGTGAAGCCTGCTTCTCCCTCTCTTGAGGCTCCCACTGCTTGTGCACGCTCTTTCTCTCTCTGTTAAATAAATAAATAAAATATTTTTTTAAAAAAATAAGCAAATGTTTTACCCTTGCCTTTTTTCCTCTTCACTTTGAGATAGAATAGGTAACTATACTCATCATTACTTTTCAAAATGGGAATTGAACCTGGAGAGATTTGCCTCCATGTTTTAACAAGCATGAGGTGGATACCTGTTGCTTCCTTACCCTCACAAGCATCCATCCTCCCCCACTTTTGTGGTAACAACACCTTTGGGGAAACAATCCCCTTTCCAGCTTAGCCCTTACCGTTTTGAGAGGGGCTCTGCTTCAGTGGTGGGTATATAATCATCACCTACCAACTACCTTGTTCCATTGCTGCACAAAGGATCAGCTACTAAAAGAAGCAAAGATGAGAAAGGTGGGCGTGTGTGCACACACATGCACACACGCACACACATGCAACATACAGACATACAGAGATGGAGATGGAGAACCCACACACCCGCAAATCCTTATGATATTGTTTGATCACTCCTGAAGGCAAGGTAACCCTAGATTTTTTGTTAGATGAGCCAGAACATTCCCTTTTGGGCTTAAGCTATTTTGACTTCAGTTCCATCTCTTGCAGCCAAGAGAGTTCTCTACAGCTGAGTATGGGGTGTGTGCAGTGCAGATTCTTCAATGGGCAGCTAGTTAAACTGAAGACAGGTGAGAGGTGAAATGATCCCTCTGTCCCAGGCTGGGGAATTGGAAATCTTTGTGATACAGGTCATCAAAAACATCGAATAAAAGGTCTCCAGGTCCCAGCATTTCAAAGGTGGAGTTTTAGAGGTCTTGATTGACAAATGTCAGCATTTGGACTGCTTGCAGTTTTTATAAATATTCAAAAGAAAGAGACATGCTAATGTTGAAACCAGCCTCTTCAGAAGCAGGAAGGAAGAAATTACAGCCTGGCTAAAAGATGCTCCTTTTTGACTCTAGCCAGCAAACCCAAATAGTCAAGAGTCAGATATATTGAGCCATGCCAGAATGAAAAAAGGAAATTCTCTGCTCTTTCCAGAGTAACAGCAAAGGCAGGAAGGTTAAAAAAAAAAAACAACTCATCATGGAATGACCGTCTCCAGGGTCTTCATCAGACTCCTGCTGTACCATCCCTGTCCGAGAAAGGGAAGAATTAACCCCATTTTAAGTAGGGTGACCATATAATTTATAATCCAAAGTGGGACAATTTGGAGTGTGGGGAGGAGTGCTATTAATAATTATACCTGAATGACAGCTCTAAAGCAGGTCACCCTAATTAAAAGAGCTCACCACTAGGATATAGCCTTGCATCAAGAGGCCAATCTGTCCTCCTCCATCCCAGTTCATTGTTCCAGTTGCCCCTAGGCAGAGGTCAGGATGGTGGCCATTAAATTGAAGACTGGAAAGTGAATCAACCATAAGGCTTTTCCTTAACAGGCAGAAAGTTCCAGGCTGGGGTCTAGAGTGTAGATGAACCCCAACACTGCTGAGTTACAAGAGCAAGTGGGTGGGAAAGCAGTTCAGTCCTGAGAACAGAAACCCTCCCCAATTCCCACTGAGGTTGTGCTCAGCGATGAAAATAATGAATAAGAATCTTTCTCAAGAGTTCAAGTGGAAACAGCTCCATTGGCTGTCATTGACAACTCAGTTCTTTTCCTGGCGGGTAATTCTTGCTATTTCTAATTAGCAGAGTTGAACGCATCCTATAGGACAGCCTCGCGGCCGATTATTTTCCCTTTCCTTTGCTACAAGTGGATTTGCCCTATTTTTCCTTCTACCACTTTACACGGACTGTGTGGGGGCATCACCAGATCTGTAGTTTCGCCATGAGCTATCAGAACAGAAATCACTTAAAGGTCAAGGACCAGGAACTAGACCCAAAGTAAAGTTCTCTCCCTTTGGAGTGTACGTGAGTACCTTTTCATGTATGCATAGAATCATCACAGACTATTAGGTGGGGACATTTTTTAAATCAAGTGTATGGAAGAAAGCAAGCCAAGAGATGGACTGTAGGACCCAGCTCTTATTTTTGGCCGGCTCAGCTTGCATTTCCCTTCTTAGAATAAATGCCCTAATTTTCCTTCAGAGAAACTGTCTCTCAGCTTTAATCTTGTTTAGAAGAGCCTTTCACCTTCCTCACCTCTACCTCTTAATCATGCAGCTCCAGGGCTAGGTCTGTAAACCACCCCCCCATCCCCCAACCCCCACCCCCCCACCCCCGCCAGTCGGCACTCCCACAGACCAGGGAGGGATCCAGAAGGGGCAACTGCCCAGAAGCTAAGGTTAAAGAAACCCTCTTTCTCTGTTGGAGCTGCTAATGGAAAAGACCGCA